GGTGATGGTGATGATGATGGTGATTATGATGCTGGTGATGATGATGCTGATGGTGATGATGACGATGATGACGAGGATGCGGATGATGATGATGACGACTACTACGACGACGACGACGGCGACTATGATATCACTAGCGCGACTCCAATAGAAAGCGACTTAGGGGTTTTCTGGCCGCTCCGTCGTCGGTTCACTGTCGGCAAAGGGGACTAACGGGACGGACGGCCGCGCCGTCGATGGAATTCCCAACCCCTCCTCTTCGCTGCAATATTCCCGCAGTTCCCCACGTGGCGGTCGTCAGTTTTTTGTGACCCTCTCTTAGTGGTGAGGGAGGTGTTTCCGTCAGTTTTGCGACCCCCCCTTCATTTGTTCGTCGTGAGTCCACGTCGTCGGTTCTGACGGCTCTTGGGTTTGATAGTAGTGATTCCCCCGTGATACTTTGATGATGATGGTGATGATGACGATGAGGATAATGGTTATCGTGATGATCATGATGACGAGGATGAGGGTGAGGATGATGATGGAGATGGTGATGATGATCATGGTGGTGATGATGGTGATGATGATGATGGTGGTGGTGGTGATGGTGATCATGATGATGGTTGTGTTTGTACTGGTGATGGTGGTGGTGATGGAGATGAGAGTCAACTCAAGATGCATCAACGATAATTCAACGCGTCATCCCGTCACATGTCCCATCATCAGAAGTCCCGTAAGGCAGGCCTTCTCGCTACGGATCTTGAAAGACCAGGGCCCCATCGGCCTTCCATTCAGGCGAGAGCCCCGTTTTGAAAAGGATTTGCCCTGCATCCTTCTAGCCATGAGCAATGCGACGAGGTAGCATCTTAAAGGCGACGGAAGTGTCCAGCGGGAGCCTCGTTTTGAAAAGAAATCGCCCTGCATCCATGTCAGGCCGGTGCACAACTTTACACTTCTAGTCAGAATTCTTGCGGATGTCCCAGGCGAGCGTACCATTTCTAATAGCAACCGACCTCCATCAATACCTCTGTTGCGCCCTTTGAAATGTGTGTCGATATTGTGTGAGGGAGTACCAAGCGAGGGCCCCGTTTTGAAAAGAGCTCGCCATCCATCCTTGTCACGACTGGAAGTGTTTAAGACGAATGTGCGAAGCGCTGAGGCGAGAGACACATTTTGGAAGCGACCCGTCCTCCATTCGTATAGCGTTTGGAACCCTTTAGGCGTGGCGCGAAAGCACTCACATTTTGAAAACCACCCGCCCTCTATTCTTGTAGTTGTCAGAACCTATAATGACGTATGTGCGCGGCGCGAAGGCGAGGGCCACATTTCGACAGCCACGCGCGATTTCCGATACCGCCAGGCCGATTCGAAACAATCTCCCAGGAATCCGGCTCGATCCGACTCGATGCGGGCACCCCAATGCGTAATTCTCATTTCGAGCCCGCCCGATCTGGCGCGGGGCCGAATCGATGCGGCAGCCGACTTTCATCGATCTACTGTCGATCGGTCCCCGCTCCGGTTCGGCGAACGACGACGACGGACGCGGACACAGGACGACGACGACGACGACGACGACGACGACGACGACGACGACGACGACGACGACAAACGGCGGCGGCGGCGGCGGACGGGAGCCTTGGCGACGGCGCGCCGCGTCCGCTCCAGCAGGCCGACAGGCCTTGGGCTGCGACGCCCACGAGCGCGGCGCATGCCACGGCGAGTCCGGCGAATGCGAGGGGTCCAGAGAGAGTACGGCCGCGAGGGGGCTCCCACGTGGCCTCGAGGGGGCCTCGAGGGGGCCGGCCTGGAGGGGCCCCGAGGGGCCTGGAAGGGGCCTCGAGGGGGCCTCGAGAAGGCGATGGGGGGCCCCGATCGCCAGCCCATCCATCCGAGGGAACCCCTCGAGGCCGTGTGGGGGCCGCCACCGCCGACGACGTCCGACGGCGCGTGCGACGGCGCGTGCCGCGACGCGCAGGACGGCGCGAGCGACGACGTATGCGACGACGCGCGACGAAGACGTGTACGACGACGCGCGCACGACGACGCACGGCGACGAAAGTCGGGCCGATCGCCTCCTCGACTTTTTCCTCCCTGTCCCCCCCCCTGCCTTCCGATCTCGATTCCGACCTGGCTCTCGACGCAGTCTGGCTTCCGACTCGCTCCGGTTCGGCTCGTCCAACTTTGTGCCGACTCGAGGGCGCAGCCGATTTGCAGCCGATGCTTGCCGATTCGACGTCCGCGTCGGTCGGGCTCGTTCGATGTGTCGGCCCGAAGCTGGGGCCGCCCGCCCGCCCCTCATCGTTGTGCTTGCCCTTGCCAGGGCCTCTTTGGAGACGAGTCTGCGCAGCGCTGGGGCGAGAGCCGCCTGTTGAATGAACACCACCCGCCCTCTGTCCCAGTACTGTTGGAGCTTCCGAACTGCAGGATCTGAAGCGGTGCGGAAGTCCCAGGCGAAACGTCGGGACCGCCTTACCGACACGTCCCATGGTGCGGCGAGAAGAGTCATATCTAGAAAGGCAAGGGTTGGAGGAGGGGGAGGAGGAGGAGGAGCAGAGCATGATGATTAGGAAGATGGGGAGCAGGATGATTAGGAGGAGGATGACAATGATGATGAGGATGATGCGAATGATGGTGAGGAGGAACAAACAGGACGATGGTGATGATGCTGATGATTGTGATGATGCTGATGATGATGATGCTGATTGTGATGAGGATGCTGATGCTGATGCTCATGATGTTGATGGTGATGGCGATGATGATGGCGGTGGTCCTGATGAATGAGGATTAGGATGATCATGATAATGAGTAGGAGGATGAGGGTTAGGATGATGATGAGGGTTCGGATACGCATGATGAGGATGCGGCTTATGAAGATGATGGTGACGATGCTGATGATGCTGCTGATGATGATGGTGGTGGTGATGATGAGGAGGTGACGATGATGATGATGATGATGATGATGATGATGGTGATGATGATGCTGCTGCTGCTGATGATGATGCAGATGACGATGACGAGGATGATGACGATGGTGATACTGATGACTATGCTGATGATGATGATGCTGATGATGATGATGGTGATGAGGAGGAAGAGGAAGATTTGCCGGATGAGGATGATGAAGATGAAGATGAAGATGGTGGTGAGGATGATGATGCTCATGATGATGTTGATAGTGATGATGGTGATGCTGCTGCTGCTGTTGATGATGATGATGATGATGATCATGATGATGATGATTATGATGATGATGCTGATGCTGCTGATGCTGCTGATGATGCTGATGATGAAGATGATGTTGCTGATGCTGATGCTGATGCTGGTGTTGCTTATGCTGATGATGATGATGGCGATGATGATTATGCTGATGATGAAGACGACGATAATGATAATGATGAGGATGATGATGATGATGATGATGCTGATGGTGATGGTGATGATGATGCTGATGATGATGATCATGATGCTGATGTTCTTGATGATGACGACGAAGGTGAAGATGATGATGATGATGATGATGATGATGATGATGATGATGATGATGATGATGATGATGATGATGATGATGATGATGATGCTGATGCTGATGCTGATGCTGATGCTGATGCTGATGATGATGCTGATGCTGATGCTGCTGCTGATGCTGATGCTGCTGCTGCTGCTGCTGCTGCTGCTGCTGATGATGATGATGATGATGATGATGATGAGGATGAGGAAGAGGAGGAGGAGGAGGAGGAGGAGGAGGAGGAGGAGGAGGATGTGGAGGAGGAGGGGGAGGGGAAGGAGGAGGAGGAGGAGGAGGACGACGAGGACAACGACGATACCTTACGATGAGACGATGACGAGTCTGGTGGTGATGATGATGGCGCCGCTTGCAACGCCCTTGCGAAGAGCACGGATGCAGACCAGTACCACAAGAGCAGGCCCTCGAGCGAAAGCAACAGAGACCCTGCAGGCGGGGCGGCACCGTCTCGGAGCCCGTAGGCGACACATTCCTGGGGCAAACGGCGCCCATTGCAGCTGGGAGGTCGATCGCAGGATGGGCGTGCAGCCCCCGCCAGCGCAGCGCGGCAGGCGGGCGCCAGCCATCAGGAACAGAAGAAGGCGGGCGGGCAGATCCCCGAGCCGCTCCAGGCGCTCCCCAAGCGCTCCTGGCGCTCCCAGGCGGCCCCAGGCGCTCCTCGGCGCTCCCAGGCGCTCCCAAGCGCTCCCAGACGCTTCCAAGCGCACCCTAGGCGCTCCCGGGCGGTTTTGAGCGCACCCCTCGGCGTTCCCAAGCGCCTCGAGGCGCTCCCAAGGCGCTCCCAGACCGAGGGCACGAGGCACGAGCGGCTGTGCGGCGGAGCCCGCACCGCCGGCCGCAGCGTGCCTTGGAGGCGGCCGCGGCGGGGCCCGTACCGTCGGTCGCCGCCTGTCTGGGCCTTGGCTCTTGCTTCGTTGCGCCCACCCGTTGCGCTACGCCGTGGGGGCGCTGCAGGGTGGGGCCGAAGCGCCCAGAAAGCGACTATAGACAGCACTACCGGAATGCGTCTGGGAAATAGCGAACTCTGCAAAATCGTCCTCTAGATCGGCCCACGTGCTGGTGCAAGCGAGTTTCATAAGATAAGGGGCGGCGTCTTGAACGCAGCTGGCCTCAGTCAGTCCTGTCTTTGCTTCGGCTGGGATCCCAGTCAGTCACCGCTGCTGGGATCCCAGTCAGTGGCCGCCGACCAACGAAAGCCGTCCGGGGAGGTGTCCTCGCAGCGCGTGCTGTCCGCTCTGGCGGCGCGCTCGCGGGAGCCGAGCCGCCCGCACGGGGCGCGCAGGCGGCCGCCTCCCTGCCGCGCTGGGGGCCGGCTGCCGGGCCGGGGGCGGCCCGCCGCCGAAGCCCGGCCAGCGACGGGTGCGGAGGGGCAGGTGGTGCAGAGGTGCGAGCACGTGCCCCTGCGCGAGGATGGCACGCATGCGTCGAGGAGCGCATGCAGGTTGCAACGGCCTCTCGCCAGAAGCAGCAGCAGCGCCACAACAACGACGGTGGGGTGGCGAAGGCGTTTCATCGCAGCGCCCTCGAGGGCGCACCAGGTATTTTCACCGAGCGCGTTCCACTACTCGCAAAGTGCCTACTCGCAAACGTGCGAAAAACAGATGTCTGTTTCGATGCAATTTCTCGTAGATCTCCCCCGGCGGATCCAGGCCATTTGCGAGTAGTCATTTTGCGAGTAGTGGGACGCGCTCGTCTATATTTCGAGACACTCCAAGCTTGTGCCGAGGGGCGGGGCGGGGCGGGGCTGCGGGGGTGGTGTCGGCCGCAGCTCCTCTGCGGCCGTGGCGGCATCGCACTGCGGGCACCACTGCCAGGCCCGAGGGCACCCTGGCGCGGGGCAGTGCCGGCCGGCATCGCACAGAGCCGGGCCGGTCGCTCACGTCCCCGAGGCCGTCACCACTGCAGGCGTGCGGCGAGCCCGAGCGGAGGGCGGAGGGAGGCGACGGAAGACGGGGGCCACAGAGGCCCCGTCTCTTCCCCGCCGCCCCTCCTCGTGCTCTTCCGCGAAAGGGAAGGAGCAGGGAGGCCAGACAGTGCTTTCAGAAGAGACTCGGTATGCAGTCTGGTGCGCGCCCTGCGCTGGTGTTCTCGGCGACCCCACCAAGCTTCGTTATGGTCTGGGACCCTGGGCTTGGAACTGTCCGGAGCTGCATTCAACATGGAATGATGGCCATGCTAACCTTTCCCTCCTCTCCCACTTGCCCCCTCTTCCTCCCGGGCCCCCCTCTCCTTGTCCCCCGTCCCCCCGCACGGAATCGATGGAGGCGGGGGCGCGCGCTGGCGCCACTGCAAGGCGGCGGCGTGCGTTCTCGGTATCCCGGCAGGAGGCGGACGAGGAATACTGACACCCGCCCCCACCTCGAAGAAGAGAAAGCAGCACATGAACATGAATTTTCGGAACTCCGCGCTGATTTCTCGGATCGGCGCTCGGGCCCCCGTGGCGGCGCCTCCGACGCCGACCCTGGCGCGCGGAGCGCGCCAGGGAGGGGGGTCCAGCGCGGATCTGAGAAATCCGAATGGACTTCCGAAAGTTTATGTGTATGCCGATCCTTTCTTCTGTCACCACCGACCACCACACTGGCCCCTGGAGGCCCTGCAGTCAAGACGCTGAAGCCAGGGCCACTTTTGGGCTGAGGGGCCCTGGTTTTCGGGCCGCTCCTTAGGTCCAGGTCGGGAAGCCTCTTTGTGGCCGAGGCTCGCTGGAGCCAGACAAGCCTTTTCCTTCCTTCCTTCCTTCCTTCCTTCCTTCCTTCCTTCCTTCCTTATTTGGCGTTCCTCACGGTTGCACGATAGCTGCAGCGTCGGGAAAAGATCACGGCGGGCGTTTTTGCTCGCACCTCCACCTTTGGGGGCCGCTCTTGAAGGCCACGCGACCATGTGAAGACGACCCGTGACTGAAAGCGGGAGCCGGGCCCACGCCGCGCGAAGCACGTGACGTCAGAGGCTCCTGGGCAGTCGAGCGCCAACCCCGACCGAACGGCCTCGGGACGGGACGTGCGCCAGCCCAGCTCCGCCATCCGAGTGGGGAAGGGCCGCGCGTGGTCGCGCAGGGCCGGGCCCTGGGACCATCGCATATCGATGTGGCTCGAATAGTGCAGCAGAAAGGCGGTGTCTAGGGCTTTGGCCGTGATTTCTCGCGATGTTGCATTTTTCCGCAACGTCGAATCTCAGGGTTGCCACGGCTGGGTTCGCCTCGAAGTTTTTGTCAGGATGCGCCCTGGGAGAGGTCCTGGGAGTGACGGTATCGGTGTCGTCTTGCTCCCCCCCTCCCCTCAGAGGCGTTCCAGACTCTCTTGGCTTCTCTGCGGAGCGGGCCAGCCTGACCGAGTGTCTCGCCAGCTTTTGGCATTCGCTCGCGTTCATGCTCCTCGCAATTCACTCACAGTCGGCGCTCCCGCTTGAGATTTCCTCAGATTAGTGCATGTGTGTGCGATGGGCCAATGTGAGAGTTACGCTGATTATGACGAGGGAGTGATGATTAGGGTGAGATTATGATGGTGATAATGGTCATGCTGATGATGGTAGTGGTGATGATGGTGATGAGTAAATGCGAGTGAGTGATGATGAATTAGTAAATGAGTACGTGAATGAGTGAGTGATGATGCTGGTGGTGATGGTGATGAAGATGATCATGATTTTGATTATGATGATGGTTGTGATGATGATTGGGGTGGTGATGATGATCCTGATGATGCTGATGGTGATGAGGATGATGATGATGAGGATGATGATGATGACGATGATGATGATGATAATGCTTAGGGTGATGATGATGATGATGATGATGATGATGATGATGATGATGATGATGATGATGATGATGATGATGGTGATGATGATGATGATGATGATGATGATGATGATGATGATGATGACGATGATGAACATGATAATGATGACTGCGTGAGTGCGTGAGTGCGTGAGCGCGTGAGCGCGTGAGCGTGTGAGTGGGGCGTGAGGACTGTGCGGGGTGCCCCGAGAGAGAACCGGAGCGCCACTCAGGATGTGGAGCACTGGCGCTGCCCGTCGGACCCTCGCCGCCCCCCGCCGCCCCCAGGAGCCCCGCGAGGGCGCGCAGCCCGCCGCCGCGCAGGCCCTGGCCGCCCACGCCCGGCGCGCCGCGCTCCTGCGCTGGCGGCGGGGCGCGGCGCGGCGGCGCGCCGCGCTCTTCGACGCCGGGCTCCGCGCCGTGGCGCTGCGGTTCCGGTGGGCCCTGGGGCGCTGGGCGAGGCCTCGGGGGGCCCAGAGGACAGAGGACCTCCAAAGATTTGGGGAGGTGCGACCTCCATGCTGAGGGCTTCTTCTTCTTCTTCTTCTTCTCTTTCTTCTTCTCTCCCCTCTGGGGGCTGTGCCGTGGCGCTGCGGTTCTGGAGGCCCCATGCGGCGCTGGGCGAGGCTTCGGGGGCGTCCCCGACCCGGGCCTCCAACGGAATGATTTCCCTTGAGCAGCTTGTCTGGAGGGGGTCTCTCTTTCTTTCTTTATGTTGCTTAATTTCTCTCTCTCTCTCTCTCTCTCTTTCTCTCTCACTTTCTTTGTGCTTCTTGTTTGTTAGATCTCTCTTTCTTGATGTATATATATATATATATAGACATTATCTCTTTCTTTCTTTCTCTCTCTCTCTCTAGATGATCGCCTGGTAGTATAAGATATGTCTGCATGCGTGCATGTATGCATGCATGCATCTATGTATATATGTACGTACGCACGTATGTATGTATGGATCAACGTACGCATGTACGTACGCACGTACGTATGCACACACACCTGCATCTATCGATCCATCCATCGATATATGGTGTATATACATATATGTGTACATCCTTTAACTTCGAAGACGTCTACGGCGAATCACCGCCGCCCCCTGTCGTTTAGGATGCGCTTGTGTGGCTAAGCATGTGGGCAACGTTTGGCCGCGCTATTGGACCACGCGTTCCCCAGCCGTTGAGGAAGCCCTTCGGGGAACACTTGGGGGAGGAAGAGGAGGATGAGGAGATTTGGCTGTCTTACAGCGTTTCTGGCTCGTCTGCCGCCGTCGGAAGCCGTCTTGGAAGCCTCTGTGTGCCGTCTTATGGCCCCCTTGAGGCGCTTCGACATCGTCTTGCCGGCCCCAAGAAGTCTTGAAACATTTTCGTGAGCCCCCAAGAGGTTCTCCAAGGAGGAACATCGGCAGAAAGATCTGAGGAGGATGGGGAAGAATTCGCAGAGTATGGCGATAATGAGAACAAGGAAAGAGGAAACATGAGGGAAGGATAACGATTGAAACTATCATAGCGGCGACGTCGGAAAAGACAACAGGAGGTTGCTGCTAGAACTTCTCTTTTACCGTCCAGCCCTTCCGCCTGCATGCCAAACATCGAGGACCAAGGTGCATGACACGACGCGCTAATGCAGTCTTGCACATGCATGTATGTATGTATGTATGTATATGTATGTATGTACTTGAGCAGGCCGAAAGATTTTCCTCTTGAGGCCCACATGACACATGCGAAGTGTCGTTGACTCTAGCGGATGCGGACGCAGCGATCATATCGCGCTCGCGTCGAGGTGGGGCGTGGCATATGTTATGGGAGGCTGCGGGAATTGGCCAGGCCCGCTGTGGCGCTCGAGCACCCACATGTTATGGAGGCTGCGGGAGTTGGCCAGGCCCCGTGTGTTGTGTCTCTCGGTAGGGGAACCCCTCCCCCGTAGAATCATAGCTTGGGCTGCAGGTCCAAGGCTCCGTGGATCCATTTCCCCTGGGGTCCCTTGTGTTAATTATTATGATAAATGTATTCCAGCACAAGAGTTGGATCCACGAAGCTTCCACGCCAAACATTTGGATCCAGAAGACACCGAAATTGGATCTACGTGACTCTCGCACACACGTGATTGGATCAAAATGGATCCATGCGTTCCCATGCAGAGGAAACAACTTTCGGCCTGGGGATGTATGTATGTATGTATGCATGCTTGTATGTATGTATGTATGTATGTATGTATGTATGTATGTATGTATGTATGTATGTATGTGTACACGTACGGAGGTGTACATAAATATGAAGATGTATGGGTATTCGTAGATAGCTATATAAGCGTGTGTGTATTTGCATGTATATATGTATGCATGAATGCACGTATGTCTGTCTGTATGTCTGTATGGGTGTATGTATGTATGTGTATATATATGTATACATATATGCATGTATCTATGTATGTACATACGTATGTATGTATGTGTGTATGTGTATGTGCGTATGTGTGTATGTATGCATGTATGTTTGTATGTATGTGTGTGTATGTGTGTGCAGATATACATGCATGTATGTATGTGTATGTGCGTATGTATGTATGTGTGTATGTGCGGACGTGTGTGTGTGTATGCATCTACACCTGTACGCATGTACGCACACATGTATGTATGCATGCAATTGTGCAATGCCCGTTTGCATGTATACATGTATACATGCATGTATGCATGCATGAATGAATGTATGCATGCCTGTCTGTATGCATGAATGTATGTATGTATGCATGTGTATATTTGTATGCATGCATGCTCACACCTATACATACACATACCTCCATATGTATAAACGTTATGACCGCCGCCGTGCTAATAAATTCCTCGGTTCCGTCTATGGTCGGGTTGAGACGGCTATGACTCGCGGTTGTTTGCCAGTTCCGATGTCAGAGCTAGTGGGGCTTGTCAGGAGGCTTCTTGGGAGCTTTTGGGGCGCTTTTTGGAGCCTCGTTTGGGCCTCTGAGGAGCCTCTTGGGGACCTGCTGGCGGTCTCGGGGGCCCCTTTGGCCCTCTGAGGGCCCTCTTGGGCCGTCTTTGGCGGTTCTTGGGCCTTCTTGGGGCCCTGTTGGTGCGTCTGGGTGCCCTCTTGGGGCGTCTCGGGCCCTTGTTGGGATTGTTTGGGGAGCTTCTTGGGCCGTCTTGGACGCCGTGAATGTCGAAAAGTCTTATATGTTAGGAATGGCTGTTTCCCGACGGGAATGAAACGAATTTGGCCTTGGAGGGCTCTCTGGGGAGGGCTCTAAGGGGCCTTGTGGGGCGTCTTGGAGGCCATGTGGAGGCCGTCTTGGGCTGTCTGGAGGCCATTTTGAGCGCGTCTTGGACCGATCGCTTGGCGACTCGGGGCTTTCTTGGACCGTCTCAAAAGGCCTTTTGGAGCCCTCTTGGCCCGTCTTGGGGCCCTCTTGAGTCACTCTGGGGCCCACTGGGGCACTCTTGGGGCGCTCCCGACCCAGCCAGCCCGCTGGGCCCGAGATCAAGTCAGATCGTATCTCGATGTATACAAGTACTCATTGTATCAGCACAGCCATGTACATAATATGTATGTATATCTATATATATATATATGTATATATGTATATATGTGTATATATATGTGTGTATTCTCATACGCACCTCTCCGAGGGAGTAGAGCTCAGAGGCGATGAATGCGTACGCGGGGCGCCGCGTCCGCGATTTGTCTGGCCGTTTCGCTCGGGACATCCTCGAAATTCTGAACATCGGTGGCACCCCTCACGCAGATCGTGACGTCAGGGTCCAAAAACACATGGGAATTTCAACATTCTAACATAAAACCTTCAAAAACACATTGTAATTTCAATGATTTTGACCCCGATTCTCAGAGAATGGCGATTTTGCCTGCGACATCCGCCCAAAACCGAGCCCCATCGTACCTTCTGGTACCCCAGACCCCGCCTCGGAGCCTCTTGGGAGCCTCCTGGAACCTCCTGGGGCCTCCTGGGGCTTTCTGTACCTTCTGGTACCCCAGACCCCGCCTCGGAGCCTCCTGGGGTCTCCTGGAACCTCCTGGGGCCTCCTGCGGCCTCCTGGAGCCTCTTGGGGCCTCCTGGAGCCTCCTGGGGTCTTCTGGGGCCTCCTGAGGCCGCCTGGGGCCTCCTTTGGCCTCCTGGGGCTTCAGAACTACATGCACACACAGAGACACAAATCACACCCAACACATCACACGCTAGACAAACATAACACACACACACACACACACACACACACACACACACACAACACCTACAACGCACAGAAAACACGCACAACACAGAGCACACATCACACACACACACAACACGCACAATCCCGGGGCCTCCTGGAGCCTCTTCCCGTATCCAAGTCGGGCCTCCTGAGGTTTCCTAGGGGGCCCTGGTACACACATCGCAAGGTGTGGCAACCCCACTTGCGCTCGAGTGCGACCTCGATCTTAGATTATTCTGCGTTCACCTCCTGCCTCTTCCCCTTCTCTTAGGCACGCCCTGGCGGCGCCGCCCCAGCTTCACCTTCTCCATCTCCGATCCTGCAGTCATGGTGTCTTCCTGCTTCAAACGCCCTTTCAGTTATTTTGTATGAACCTGGGCACACACGTGCAACTTGTACACGTACATGTATATATGTGTAAATGTACATATGTACATATCTGTATGTATCCACACGCAAACATATACACGCGTGTATCTATGTGTATGCACAAACATCTGTACACCTACATACATGGATTCGCATGTTCTTCTAGACAGATTATATGTCTGTATATAAACAGATATATGCATAATCTATCATTGGCGCTTCGCGCCATGCACCTTGGCCCTTGAATTTTGGCATGCAGGCGGAATGGTAGGAAGGTCAAACCGACAATTTAGCGATAACTCCTTGTTGCCTTGTCCGGCATCGCCGTTACAATAATGTTTTTTCGCTATCATTAATCCATGTTTCTTTTTCCTCATTCTCGCCCTACCCTGCGAATTCTTCCCCATCCTCCTCAGCTCTTTTTGCGGAGGCTCCTCCTTGGAGAGCCTCGGAAGTTTTTCAGGTTTACTTCTGGAGGCCTCCTGGGCGTCTTCTGAGAGCCTCTGGGAGCTAACTCGGGTCACCCTGCCTCCAACCGCGGTCTCCATGAACGACCGGGGCACGATTGAATGCTTCGGAGGGCGTCTTGGGGCCATCTTGGGTCGTCATAGGGCTCTCTTAGGCCATCTTGGAACCCTGTTGTGCCGTCTTGGTGCTCCCTTGGACTGCCTGGAAGCCCTTTCGGACGATTTTGGGGTGGTTTTCGAGCCTCCCAGGCGGTCTCGGACGCCGAGAAAACCGAAGAACAGGGCGTTCCCAAAATCATGCAAGAACAATTGAACAAATAATGCTTTTCCACGTTTTGGAAGCCTCTTGGGGGCCTTCTTTGGGTCGTCTTCTGGTGTCTAGTGGGTGTCTGGGGCCTCTTGGGGCCCTCGGGGGGCGTTCTGCCGCCCTCCTGACCGATTTGAGCCCGTTGACTAGGCCCAGCAAGGGCTTCCAAGAGCTCTGAAACGCTTGGGGGGCCTCCTGGAGGGGCGTCCAGGTGGTCACCGGGGCCACGGATCCAGGGGGTCCAGAGGGTTTCGAGGGCATGGGATTCGGGGGGTCCGATTTGTTTTGGGGGGGGCCCGGGTAATGTCTGTCTGTCTGTCTGTCTGTCTGTCTGTCTGTCTGTCTGTCTGTCTGTCTGTCTGTCTGTCTGTCTGTCTGTCTGTCTGTCTGTACGTAGGTAGGTAGGTAGGTAGGTAGGTAGGTAGGTAGGTAGGTAGGTAGGTAGGTAGGTAGGTAAGTGTGTGTGTGTGTGTGTCGTGATGTATCGATGTATGCATGTATGTATGTAGGTATGCATGCATTCATGTATATATGTACGTGTGCATGCATTCAGCTTTTCGTCTGGCGGCTGACTCGCCTATTTGCATCTCGCCTCTCGTCTTTTCACTGGCGGCTGACTTGCTACTGCGACGGCTACGTCGACTCTCGCCCGACAGCCTTGTACGAGCATACGCAGACGACTTGACTGTTGTACTCTCGGCGGGATTGCGGAAGCTACCCGAACTCCAAATTATGTTCGCGGAGTACGCCATGGTATCGGGACTGCACCTAAACTTCCCCAAAACAGTGTTGATACCGCTCTTCCAAACTGACGCCGCAGCGCTGACGGAACAGATGGCTCAGGCATGTCCCGGATGGGCGGGAGAGTGAGTTGCTTTCCGCGCGAAGTAGTTGGGTTTCTACGTGGGCCCTGGCCAGGGGCACCGTGCTTACGCTGAGCCATTACGGAAATATTCTGAACGCGCTACTGGCTGGGGTTCAGCAGGCGATGGTTTGCTTTTATACGTTGACAGCTTACTCAGTAATTGCTCTCCCCGTACTGAGCTTCGGAGCGAAGTTGGACGGCCCTCCCCCTGACTGGGAAAAGACGGAGGTCGCGGCAATTCGCAAGCTTTTCCTCCGGCCTGGACAGTGGTGTTGCCCTGATGATCTGCGCTGTCTGCAGCTGTTGGGCTTCCCGAAATCTCTGCCAGACCTCCGCGTGCGACCGGTGGCAGCGCAGTGCAGAGTGGCCCATCTGGAAGCGAGTGGTCAAGGCGGCCTCCGGGCCACCGAGCGCGGGCACATTGGTTTGATCGCGCTGTCGTGGTGCAGCTCCACTCAGCGACGGAGCGATGCCGTGCAAAGGGCGCTGCGCGGATATCCATCTAAGCTGTCACTGACCGGAGGCGCGCCCCGTCCACGTCCTCGGGAGATAGACGCCGCCACCCGCCGAGGCTTCCAGCGGGCGGCGTGCCGCATGACTGAGCCAGACGGTCGGGCTGCGTGCGGGCGCGCATGCATCATCACGCACAGCTGCGGCGGTTGCCGTGCAATCCCGAGACCATCGGCGATCGTGCGGCAGAAATTCTACAGGCGCTGGCCACGGCGGCGCCGCCGAAAGTTTGGGCAGCCATGTTGCAGCACCTTCTGGAAGGGCTGGTGCACGAAACGCCAGATGGAGCAGATCGGCCGGACTGGGTGCATTTTCGGCTGCGCAGGGGTAGACGATTCGATCGAGCACTGCGCTTGCTACCCAGCGGTCGCCGATTTTGCCCGTCGGCGGTTGGGAATGACGCCGGCCGGCACTGGACCCGCAGGACCAGCTGCTTGACTTCTTGCTGCTCGACCAGCCGCCAGGCAGCCGCACGGCCTCAGATCTGATTCGGCGTGCTCTCCGCGCGGCCGCGGTGCACAAGGTCCACAATTTTCGCAGGCGCGCGACCATCTGCACGGCATCGATGGCGAGAGAAGCGCTGCTCCAGGCAGTCGTCGACCTGGTGGCAGGGCACTTGCAGGCGACCCGGGCCTTGGGCGCTGCGGGGCGCCGCTTGCCCTGACGGCGCGGCTGGCGGCGACCCGCCGTGATGGCGCATCACGTCATGGCGCAGCACGTCGCCGGTGGCATGCGCGACTGGGAGGAAAATGAACGAATCATCTGTGAGCGGTAGGGCCGACGCACCGGATGTTTTCGGCCGGCTGGCGGTTGCCAGTGGGAGCCGCGAGCGCGGCGCTGTTGGCAAGACGTTCCCTCTCTCCTCCCCTCTCCCTCCGCCTCGTCCCTCCACCTCGTCCTCCTTCCCACTCGTGGCGCCGATGGGCTGATCGTGGCCAGCAGGAGTTTCAGCGGCTGGGGAGGCCCCGATCGCTCGTCAGAGCGTGCAGTCACCCTCCTCCCCTCCCTCCTCTGTCCTCCGCCTCCCTCCGCCTCGTCCTCCTTCCTTCTCGTGGTGCCGATGGTCTGATCGTGGCCAGCAGGAGTTTCAGCGGCTGGGGAGGCCCCGATCGCTCGTCAGAGCGTGCAGTCGCCCTCCTACCCTCCGTCCTCCGTCCTCTTTTCCCTCTCCTCCTCCCTCTCACACTCCGTCCACCACGGCGCAACAAACTAGAACCAACGTGCGCGGCTGGTAGATTTCCCAGTCCGTCGGCCCACGGTAGTTTACAAACCCTCCTGTCGGCCACGCAGCCGGGACAACAATTTTCTTGCCGCCTCGTGAAGTCGAGCTCGGACGCCATCTCGACAGGCTGAAACACGCAGCTCCATAGCATGGCGGTTTTTGTTTCCGCTGGTGCGGACTCGCGCCGCTGTGTTGACGGCTTCGGATTTGAAGACGATCGTCGTCGGCCCCAAGCCTTGTACTGATGCATCGGTTCCACTTCTCTTCTCTTCCTCCCTGGGCCTCCCTCCTCTTCCTGTCTCCTACTGTCTCCCCCCATGCACGTCGAGAAGCTGGGCAGGGTGGCCCGGATGTTGTACCTCCTGCTGTCTCGGAGCCGTTTTGTCCAGGTCGGCTGGAGCGTGTGATTCGCCCTCTACCTCGTCTCTTCCCTGGGCCTCTCGCGGGTGAGCCCCCCAAAAAAGGATGGGGGGAAATTCGCACAAAACGGCAGTTTTGTACGGGATTTCCCCCGCCCTTCTTTTTCCGGGCTCGCCCTGGGGGGCTCTGTCTCCTCGGCGCTTGCCTCCTGGCGTCTAGAGTGTCTGCTGCGCCGAGCGCCGGCCGCGTTTGCTCCTCCCCTTCCTCTTCCTTCGGCTTCATCATCTCTCCCCCTCCCCAACTTGGTGGTTTCGATGCTACTATCTGCACGGGCATTGCGCGGTGGTGCCTGCGGCCGCTGCTGGCCGACCCTGGGTCGCGTTCGCCGCCAAAGCTTGCCCTGTATGCCGCTGCGGTGTAGCGTCGCGTATGCTGGGCGCCGCAGCGCCCGCCTCAAGTTTCAGTTTACATAGCTAGCGAGTGTGGGCATCCAACATTTGATTTCCCCCTTCGCGTCTCGTGTCTGGAATTTGGGGTATGTTCCAGCCTTGTGCCATGCACAGTACTATGATGTTGCTTATTGATTGGTGCTGTGTGATGCCTGTTTATATGCATGGTCGTTCGGATCATGGGGGAATGCGCTCACAACGCTCTAATACTTCCTCTCTCCTTCTTCCTCCTTGTTTGTTCTCTCTCTTTCTCTCTCTCTCTCTTTCTCTCTCTCTCTCTCTCCCCTCTCTCCCTGGGTCTCCTGCCCAACACTTTGAAGCTCGACTGAGAGTGCAAAGCCGTCGTCACAGGGCGCGCAGGTGTATTGGGGGGCTTTGCACCAACTAGCGTGCTTGACTTAATGCCATTTGGCCTCGCACTGTTTTCTCGCCAGGGTTGTTCAAGCCTTCATGTGTGTCCCGTCGCACGGCCTTTGGCACAGGCGGAGGAGCCGCAGGAATGGTGGCTCTGATGGTGACCGAGGCTTTGAATATTCAGCGGGCCCTCTCGAGATCCCGGGGGGGTAACAAACAAAAATGTATGTATGCATGCATGCATGCATTCATGTATGTATGTGTATATGCATGTGAGTATGTATGTGTGGCTGTATGTATGCATACATGTATGTGGGTCTGTTTGTCTGTCTGTATATACGTATGTATGCACGTACGCATGCGTGCATGCATGCATGTGTGTATGTATGTAGGTATGTGTATGTATGTATGTATGCATGCATGCAGGTAGGTAGGTAGGTAGGTCGGTATGTACATGTATATGTATGTATCGTTGCATGCGTGCATGATTGTATATGTATGTATGAATGTGTAATATATATATATAGAGAGAGAGAGAGAAAAAGAGAGAGAGAGAGATGTGAATGCAAAATTGCAGTGGCGTTTCGCGCCATGCACCTTGGTCCTTGAAATTTGGCATGCAGGCATAATGGCAGGAAGGTCAAGCCGACAATTTAGAGATAACTCCTTGTTGCCTTTTGTCCGGCATCGCCGCTATAATAATGTTATTCGTTATCCTTCCTCCATGCTTCTTTTCCTTCATTCTCGCCATACCTTGCGCATTCTCCCCATTATCTTCAGCTCTTTTTACGGAGGCTCCTCCTTTGAGAGCCTTTGGAGGCCTCACAACAGTTTTTCAGGTTTTCTTAATTAAGGCCTTCTGGAGGCTTCCTGGGCGTGTTCTGGGGGCTTCTGGGGGCTTCCTCGGGCCACCCTGCCTCCAACCGCCGTCTCCCTGAACGACCGGGTCACGGTTTGGAGTATTTCGGAGGGCGTCTTGGGGCCATCCTGGGCCGCCATGGGGCTCTCTTAGGGCCATCTTGGACCCCTGTTGTGTCGTTTTGGGGCTCTCTTGGACTGCCTGGAAGCCCTTTCGGATTGTTGTGGGTCGATTTTGGAGCCTCCCAGGCGGCTTCGGACGCACAGAAGACCGCCGTTTTGGAGCGTCGGGAAGCCGAAAAGAGGAGAACCCCCGAATGCACCAAAAATTAACAGAAAATCAATGATTTTAGCCTCTTGGGACCTTCTTGGGAGTGCTTTTGGAGGCCTCTTGGGACATTTCGGAGCGATCTTTGGGGGTATTACGGCTTCTTGGGGGTCGTTGTGGACCGTACTAGGGTTCTCTGGGGTTGTTTCGGGAGCGCGCCGGAACGCCTGGAACCCGTCTGGGACCGTCTTCGGGCTTTCGTGAGGTTCTCCCGGGTCGTCTGAAGGGTTGCCCAGAGGCCCAGGGAGGGCCAAATTCTTTAAGGGGGGGGCGTTTTCCGGCGTGCCCAGCCCTATACAAATATACGAGCAGGAATATTTTAGTGTGTAAATATATTATACTAGTGTGTATATATGTATAGTGTCTATATGTATATATATACATATATATATATATGTATATATACAGAAGCTGGGAAGTGGATTGCTGGATCTGGAGTCGGGCGGGCGACGTTGCCTCTCGTGCCCTCCAAGTGCCCTTCCTGTCCCTATCCTGATCCTTTCGGTCTCTCTATATCCTTGTCCCAACCCCTATCCCTATCCTTATCCCTATCCCTATCCCTATCCCTATCTAGAGCCTTTGCTTCCCCTCCGTACCCCCCATCGTGGCCCTCACTCGTAGCCCCCCACCGTACCCCCCATCGTGGCCCTCAAAGTAACCGAGCCAAGGCCTTCCGGGTCTTCTGCTGAAGGCGTGCCACTTCCATCGCCGTTCTTCCATGATCTCGGATTCGGGAAGCCGCCCTCGGGCCCCGGTGCCATCAAAAACGGATCTGAGGCGCAGAAGTTACCCCCGGGGAAAGGGTCGGGAACCTCGGGACCGTGGATTGACAACGTCAGATCGTAGGATGTCTGGGGAACGGAGTGAGGACCTGGAGGGGAGTCCAGTTGCCCGTTGGCTCTTGGAGGTTTGCGGGCCTCGGGGTGCTCTCTGGCAGCTGCGCCTCGTCGCGAGCTTTCCAGGGGCGCCCGCATCGTCCCGAGCGGGCGTTGGAGGCCCGCGTTGCGACCCGAAGGCCGCCAGGCGTCGAGGAGGGGCGTGAGGCCTGTGTGTGTGTGTGTGGGTGGACACCGTGGGCGGGGCCCATGGTGTCTCCCCGACCTCGTGGCCTCTCCAGCACGTGGCCTGGCCGTCCGCGCACGTGCCCCGGGCCGTGCCCCAGACATCCGACGTCGTGACTTTGGTTCGCGGCGTGGCTCCCCAGAGACCCGGGCCCCTTCCCGGGGAGCGGTTCTTCATTCTGAGTCGTTTGTTGATGGCCCTGGGGCCGGTGAGGGCTTTGTCGCGACGTGAGCATGTGAGGCTGGTGCGCTGGTGCACCCTCTTTCCTGACCCCCTGTCGTCCAGCGCAGCACGACCCTGAGATCCTACATTGGTGAAACAGATGCCGCGCCCAGATCTCAGGGCCTCCCCCCACCCATCCAGGGTCACCCCGTCCCCCCAGCTGGGGGGAGGGACAATAAGCGGCCGATGCGGCTGCTCCGCGGACCTCCTGTGCCTGAGTCCCTCTTGGAGGTCCCACTTTGGGGGACCTCTCGGGGCCTCCTGGGAGCCTCCTGGGGACCTCTTGGGGGCCTCTTCTGTGGGGCTCTTGGGGGCCTGCGGGCTGTCTCGAGCCACCTTGACCTCGAGGACTCGAGAAGCGGCACTTCGAGACTTGCCCCTCGTCCAGCGCACCCCGGAGGTCGGCGTCGGCGAGCGCCAGGGGCGCGGAGGCGGCGGCGCTGCTCCGCTCGCGCCGGGCCCGCCGCGCCGCGCGGGCCTGGCGGGCGATCTACCGACGGGGCCAAGACGAGGCGAAATCCGTTCCGGGGCACTCTGAGAAGGCCGCGGCGCCCGAGACTAGCTTCCTCAGCCGCCAGATCTCAGAGATTCCTGGTGTATCGGGCGGGTGGTCATGGTGGGTGACGTGAAGAGAGGGGCCCTGAAGGGGCCCTCTATGCTGGCACCAAAAGGGGCCCCAGAAGGGCCCCATTTAGGGCCGCTTTTCTACCCCCCCCATGTAGGCCCCCCTCATTACCACCCGCCCGAATGCATCCCCACCCGAATGTATCCCCACCCGAATTCATCCTCACCCGCATTGATCCTCACCC